TGTTACTACTAGTAAGGCACTTGTTACTACTAGCGATGCACTTGTTATTAGTAGCTATTTGTTACTACTAGTCCAACACAGTGTTTGGAGAAAACAATGCACTTTGATTCTATTCTGGGGTGACTATATCACTCGCACTTCTCAAGCACAAGAAATGTGGATGCCAAGAAACGTTAAACTCCTTCTCCCGGGTGGGGTCTTTTCATTGTCGTAACTCCTAGTGGCCCTGGTTGAAGAAAAAGCCTGTTTAGGGCGGATTCTGGACACCAAATCTTTCGGTTGCAAAGTAGGGTGCTCAAAGGGCACACTGGATGAACTCAAGGTGTGGTGTAAAACTTGAGCGGGGAAACACGAAAGGTAGAGACGGACCGAGTAGTTGTCGGGACCTTTTCTGGTGAGGGACTGTCTCCGGTGTTTCAGGAACGTGCCCTTGGTCAATCATGGATGAAACCAACAAAGCCAGAGAGCACGAGAAGGCATAAGAAGGCTCAAGAGGAACTCCGTTGCGGTCAGATTGCGCCACACGGCTCTGCAGAGAGGCTGCGTTGCGTCGACGCTCGTTTGTGTCTAGGTGTGTGAAAACAGGCGCGCGTAAAAGTCGCAATGCGTAAACGCTCGCATGTGTACCAGCTATGGTCCCACAGCTGCACGCACTGTGTCAGGATTACAGGCCTGCACGCGTTGCGTCGAAGCCGCAGTGACTCAGTGACCAATCCCCTTGTAAGGATAGTGCTGGAGGGGTGCGGCCGGTACTGCCAGGGATGGACGTCACGCTATGGTGGGTGTGCTCCACGATGCGGTAAGATTTCGCCACGCTAGGGTATAAGGCTGAGTCGAATGGTGTTCCGCGACGCGAGGGGTTTCTCCACAGGGCTTTGCAAAGAGGCTGCGTTGCATCGATGCTCGTTGGTGTCGAGCAATATGGTCTGTGAACGCAGTACGCGCTGTGTTAGGCTGCCGGGCGCGCACGCGCGGCATCGAAGCTGCATTGCGCGACCTCATTGCGCAGGGTTCGTGCTGTATTGCGCAACCTCATGGCCAGCGTCGTACTGCTGTGACTGTTAAGCGCATGACTTCACCTTATGTCCAGAATTTAGTAGTGCTGGCGACGAGGGGAGGGGACGGGGAGGGGAGGGGGGTCGAATCAATTGATTTATCAATCATTCATCACATGGGAGGGGGGGGGGAGGGGGGGGTGGGGGTGTTAGACATTGATCTACCAATCTTTAGTCCCGAGCAAGCTCTCAAGCCAGTCCCTTTGCTTCGCAAAGCAAACTCAAGGTAGTCCTTACCAGGCTACCTTTCGTGATGTCAGTTTCTTGCTGAAGATGGAATTCAGAGCAAACGTTGTTCTTTGAGGTGCCCTTCATGCAGGGTTCGATTCCGCAACTCTAGCAGAATCTTTGGAGTTTTTCTCCAACCTACTAGCGATGGCCTCCAACCTAGCAGAATCTTTGGTCCATCTGGAGTTTTTCTCAACTAAAAGCCTGGCTGATCGATTGGGCCAGTCGAATCAGGAACGCAGCTGAACCCACCCGGTGGATCGAGTCTCTTTCGCACATGGCCAAAGCTATGCTCAGGCGTCACTGTTTTCATCATCGGGAGAACGCTTTAATTATGTTGCTTCTAGTAGCTTCTTGCTCCATTCGCGTCCTTGTTCCTAGTAGTAAGGCCAGGAGCCCCGTTCGTAGCGTCTGCTCAGGCGATCCACCGAGTTTTCACGAAGCAGCAGCGGCTATCGTCGACTCTTGGCGCTCTTCTTGGCGCTCCTGACGCGAGGAGCAGCTTGGCCCCGTGCTTTGCAGCTGCAAACCCCGTCATTCTGTGAGAGGCTACGGAAACACGCAGTTGTAAAGGACTCCAAGGTCATCACCTTTGCCCCTTCAGGGGGCAGTTGAAGTCAGAATGTTGCTTGTCGCCAGAAGTTGATGGGTACCTGACAGGTTTCTGTGGTTGATGGGTGATAGAATTCTGCTCCCCAGTGGTCAACCATAGACCTTCTCTATCAAATCCCGCCAAAAATCCAACCACCTACCATCCTTCGAAGCGCTTTGCACAAAGTGGATCTACTCCACCTGTTCCTCAGCTACATCTCCCTTCTCTCCCTTGGCACCAGCCCAACCACTAGTAGCTAGAAGCTACTAGGTGGAGGCCATCGCAAGTAGGTTGGAGGCCATCGTTACTAGTAACAAGAAGCGCCCTCTCCGCTTCTCCGGAGCTCCTCTCGCGGATGTGTCCGAAGTCTTCTTCAAGCCTCTGAAGTGTCGAGGAAGTCGAAAGCGAGGAATGGTCACAACATGCCATAGAGAAACCCAGACTTGGTGGACATCCTCAAACATGACGTGGAACCATTTTCATGATCCGTGGAGCGCTGGTCATAAAGACTTCGTCCCAAAGGATTGAGCCAGGGCCACCCATCAGCCTCCCAAACCGCAGTCATCCGCAGTCTACCTTTGTCCAGAGGTGAAACAACAGTCATTCCATAAGGCTCCTACACCAGGTCCGCGATCAAAAGCTCTTTTGTCGCGTTGCACACTTTTGACCTACCATCTGCAGTTGAGGCGCAAGGTCTTCATGAGCAGCAGGAAGTCGGGGAAATCCGCTTCTTCACGTGGAGCACAAATCTCTTGAAACTTCACCTCAAGCTCCTTGAAGAGCTTGTCGCTCTTAGGTTGAAGGTCATCGCTATTAGAAACAAAGAAAAATAATACAGGTCTAACATTTGCGCTGGCAAGGAATGGCTCAGGGTTCCCGGTTCGGAATCACTGGTGACCACTCTTTATGGGATCGGACTGGTTCCTCGGTGACTTCTTTGCAAGACCCAACTTGGAAATCATCTAAGTGAACAAAAACAACTCTACTTCGCAACATTTTGAAATTCCCAAAAACACGACCAACATGTTGGTGATCATCCTTTTGGAGTCGTGTCGAATTGACCCCAGTAGGTGGACCCTTCCAGCTTTACCATGGTTTACTCCGAAAAAACATACACCGTTTCCACGTACCAACTCATGAAGTACAAACTCTTGACATCTTGCTACGTCCTCGTTTTGCACTTGTTGCAGTTGAGATTTCCACAAGCAGTAGGATGATACTATTTTGCAACACTTTTGTTGTGTTTTGGGGCCAATATAAGTCTGCCCGCAGTTTCGACAAGCCAGGGACCCCCGATTTTGTCAGTCTCCTCGCTGAGTGCTTTCCCCAAGGGGGTGATGCTATTGATCATTCGCCAGAACTCTTGGAAGTTCATTTCCTGGCCGATGAGGCTCCCATCCACAGAAAACCTATGGAAAATCATCCATCCTAGGCCCGAGTGACCTAACTCCGTGCAAAACCGATCAAAACCGCCTTCGGAAACGCCAATCTTCCAGGTTGGGTCGCTGATCTACTTTTCGCACGGCCAAGTGACGAGTCATACACATCAAACACTTTCCGCCACTTGTCTGAGGATCACCCTCATCTTACCCAAATTCAACATGCCAACGCTGCTAATGCCAAAGCACCAACGTTTTCTCCAGGAGCGCTTCTTTTGGCAACTCCTTTCTTTGTGACATTTGTATTGAGTATTGTCACCCTTTCCTAGATGTTCTTGTGAGAACATTCATTTCAATCCCTCCATGTACGGTGATCCTATGAAGCCAAATTCTCATTCTTGCGCATTCTTATCAGGATCCTGCGGATTCATTCAGCTGGACTGGGCTTGTCGACCTACCTCTCCGGGCATTTGCTGTGAAAAACCACCCTGCTGCAAATCTCAGTACGTGCGAATACAAACTCTACGACTCTAGGCACATCTCTGAGCCTAGTAGCGTCTTGCTCCTAGTAGCGATGCCAGGAGCCCCTAGTAGCGTCCTTGCTCCTAGTAGCGATGCCAGCAGCCCCTAGTAGCGTCCTTGCTCCTGGTAG